GTTATCATTTTGGATGCCGTATGATTTCATAGTTTGGAGGCAATCTTGGGCTGACTGGCTGGCTGGCACATCATGTCGGTCACGACAAAATAACATGACCTACAGGAGGTCATCTTCATAGAGTTGATCGAGTTGAATTATAAAAATAATTCACAATGACTGCCTGATGGGACTGGATGTTGATTAGCAGTTTACTCATTAACTGGATACTCCCCAGTATGGTGGTAAACTTTGATTTCAACTTGTCAGAAACTTACACTGTGTGACTACTATAACTGGGGCCACCTAGACAAATATGTTGACGAATCGGATTTTATTACAGGGGAATAGTAATACAATCGGAGAAAGTTAGTTGTCAATCATAATTACGGTAGTAACCATGAAACAAAATTAACAACATGGATCCAAATCAACCAATTACAACCTACAGATGTGACCTTTTGAACCTGCTGAAGAAAGCACGTGTTTCCCCATGCCAGAGGTACATTAGAGTGAGTTAGACAGAGGCAAAAAACATAAATGACATTACAGTTGTATTTTAGACTTGCAGTGGCCTGTTATCACAAAGCGTGGTAATTAGTAGTGAAGAAAAAGGCCACTTGCACTAAGAGCTCACAAGACCAATGCTTCGTTAATTTAAACAATGAGTTGGAATCTTGCTGATGCCAAAAATTGACGGAGTGCCTGAAAATTATCTTACCACCGAAATTTGGGAGGAATCCCGTTTAAGGGAGATATTTTATGGCACTTTGATTTTTCGACAAAGTAGTATGATTTGTATTAGCCACCATGTTGGAGGGCAAGAGTGACAGCCAAAACTACTTTTTGCTTGTATATTAATTGTTAAACGTTTGATAGCTATGCTCAGATGTGCTGAAGACAATACCACATCTTTTCAACAATTTCCTTGAAGTTTATAAGTACAAAATTTCTGTTCAGAAAGAGGTAATTCACAGGTTTAAAAATCACATTTTGGTCACATGACCAGCTAGAACTTACTCATTTTGAGAAAATGGTGTGGGTTTGAAAACTAAATCACTATTATTTTGTTTAAGATATGACCCACTTAAATGTTTTTATGAAGGCAAAATCATATAACTTTTATTTTCATAAAAATGATGTCACATGACCTCTTAGTGCAAATGGCCTACTGCTGGTAGGTGACAAAATAACAGCTTGTGTCAAAGAAATATGTCTCCTTGGTGTTGTATGCAAAGTTTTGAATTGGAAAACATTGTCTGGTGCAATTTTAATCAATTTTAATGTTTTACTTCAAGTAACTTATTGTTTTTTTACAAGCTGCTGATTGGTCCACAACCAACTTTCTTGAAATGTATTGTTATTTTCCTGTAATCCGATTGGTCAGCTTTATCTAAGTGGCCCCAGTTACAGTAGTCAGAATGTAAGGCTATGTGGATAATTTCCAAAATGTGAAATGAATAATTTGTGGGAAATTTGACAGAATTGTACAAAATTTGATTATTCAAGACTCCAAAAGATTTCTGTAGAAATTAAAGGTAACTCTCTAGGAAGCTTTCACATTTTGAATTATTCCTGTCCCAGGCAACCAGAAATAAATGTTTTGGGGATGAAATAAAAGTAAAAATAGTGAATCATATAAAACCTTGGAAGTGCAAGGAAGTTGACAGCTGTATTATTTTATTCTTCACTAGGTAAAAGATAATTCATGTTTGATTTGCCTAAAGCTAGAGATATACCATATTTATTTGAATAAGCACCCAACCTTGAATTAGCGCCCACCTCGAATAAGCGCCCATCCTAAAGGCGGAAAAATTTAATGAATGCCCAGCCTCGAATAAGTGCCCACCCCCTTTCTGGTCCATCCCACCCAAAAAAACATTAAATAAGTACTAATAAGAGACTTGCCCGAAGACAGAGTTTTCTTCAGAGTATTTTACAGAAACCTTATAGGCATTATAAATTTCAGTCAAAGGTGTTAGTAAATGTGAAGCTATTTAAAAACTGAATGCACAGGTGGGTGCAGTGGTATTATTCACCTCTCATTTTTAAGCTGGAGGAGAGGGAGACCAGGCATAGGCTGAGGATTTGAACTAAAAGCATTTTTTTCCATCAAACGCCCTACACCAGGGACATTGTAGGCATTCAAAAGAAAACTAATTCTTTACCCCTCCCCCTAACTACCTAGTTAAAGTATTATCTTACCGGTCAGCTCGGATGCCAATGTCTTTCAGAATTTCCTTTCTGAGTTCAGTCTGTCAGCACATTTTCTTGCATCCTGCTGGGAATGTCTTCCACTTATAAATTAGGTAAACAAATTTTTATCTGTTAACATGCAAATTTCCTTGCTTTCAAACTCAAGCAAAAGAGTCAATAAGAGTTAAACGTCCTGACACAACAAGAATGAGACGAGGCTGAAATGGATTCATGAGTCGGAAAATTTAGAACCCTGAGAATGAGCTCAAGCAACAATTACCTTGTTGCTTGTAATTTTCATATCATGTACATGTTCATCTCTCCTTCCTCCTAGCATATGTGTTTAATAAGATACCACAGATCCCCATGGGAACTATGGCTGCCATCTTTGGTTATCCCCCCCCCCCTGCTTATGCAACTGGAGACTGTGGTAACCAGGTGTTTCTCATCTTCCATTCCAAATCCCTGGTCCTCACATCAGCAATTGGCGATAATCAAAAGTTCAGGTCACCACAGCAGGCTGACTTGTTTATGTCAAATCCACCAGATGTGCCCCGCTTTCTCCCATCCGGACAGAGAACTTTTTTAAAAATTTTTTATTACCCTACTGATAATACCCTATTTTGCTCAACGGTAAAGCTAAGAAAACTTAAATGCACTCGCTAATCTAGGTACCTACTACATGTAATTACGTTAAATGATGCAAATCACTGATCCTCCACCTCGGTTGTCAACAAGGTTGACCAATCTGATTACAGGAAAATATCAATACATTCGAAAAACGTCATTTGTCAAATATAATTACCATTACCACAAAACGAAATAAACAATACATGGATTAAAATCAGCCAATTACAACTTAGTCAGAGACATGACCTTTTGAACCTGCTGAAGAAAGCATGTGTTTCCTGAGAGGTCTGTTACAGTGTACTGTGATGGAGGCAAAAAACATAAACGATAGTTGTATTTTTGACTTACAGTGGCATGTTATTGCAATGCATGGCAATAGTAGCGAAGAAATTGCGAGTAGATGCAGACAAAACAGCAGCTTTTGTCAAAAAAATATGTCTCCTGGACTGTTGTATGCAACGTTTTAGGAAAACATTGTCTGGCGAAACATTGTGCTATATCAAAATTAAATTCTGTGCTTTGAGTATTAACTTATTGTTTTTATGAGCTGCTGCTTGGCCCATAACCAACCTTCTTAAAATGTATTGTTATTTTCCTGTATAAATCTGATTGGTCAACTTTGTCTGAAGTGGCCCCAATTTAACAGTAGTGACACTGTAAGGCTATATGTAGATACGGTAATTTCCAAAAAAAGTGAAATGAATAATTTGTGGAATTGACAGCAAGTACAAAATTTCTTCGTTCAATTAGGCTCCAAAAGATTTCTGTAGAAAAGGTAATACTCTCTTTAAGGAAGCTTTCACGTTTTAAATTATTCCTGTCCCAGGCAACCAGAAATAAATGTTTTGGGGCAGAAATAAAAGTAAATTAAAATATATAGTGAATGATATAAAACCTTGGAAGCTCAAGAGGTGACAGCTGTATTTATTCTTATTAATTCACAAGATAATTATTCAAAGATGTCGTGTTTGATTTGCCTAAAGTTAATGAGGTAAATACCTCTTGCAAGTTAATGTTAACTTAGCTGTAACCTCCTGCAGGTTTAGATGTTACCCAGTAAACAGAATGTCTTTTAAAAAAAGAGAAACAGAAACTTGTACAATGTGAAGGAGACTTTAAGTAGATAAATAAAAAAAGGTTTATTTTTAAAAGGAAAGTATTAGGTTATAAATAACCCATCACACATCTAAATGTTTGGTAGATTAATAACAAACGTTTTAAGAAAAGATAAGCAGAAAATTATATATTATTTAACCTTATAATGAAAGCTTTCAATAAACAGTTTATGCTTAACTATGAAATGCCTAAAAGATGAAATATAGATAATTGGTATGTTGTCTTTTATCTGGCTGAATTTTACCCACCATGGCCAACTAAGGTAGCCTGGGTTCACATCTCCTATTTCCTTTGTTGCATGCAGAAAGGTTTCAGTCTCTTTTCCACCTTTTCGCATGCAACAATTAAAGGAAATAGCAGACATCTGCCTCAGGCAGGCTTGGAGGATGTCAGTAACAAAAACTGTTTGCCAAACCTTGTCCTTAATGTTAATAATTAATGGTCTCACTCTGCTGTACAATTGATATTATTGGTACCATCATGTTGTGAAATTTGGGACCTTTCTGCACTAGCAGACAAACTTGGAATTTGAAATGTTGAAACATCTAAACTGAAAACTGTATGGTGACAATTTTGTTTTTGAAAAATTGATTCAAACTGAAAACTATTTACTTAACAGCCCGTCGCATCTGTCAACTTAATGGAAAGAATTAAATGGCTTTACAACAAATGATTGATGAGAAAAAGTCATGTTTTCATTTTTTTAGGTGATTTTGTTGCCTTTGAAGATTTCTTCCATCTGGGGACAAACCATCCGCATTTGTAAAGCATTGGTGATGACAGAAAATTTGACTAAGACAACTTTTTTGCTAGTGCAGATAGGCCCTTGGTCAATGCCAGCTGGTTGTGAGGAGTTGGCCAGGGGATTCGAGCCAATCAGAAACAGAGAAATATTTTGTGTAAAATAATTAATAATGATGAATAATGTTGTCTTGCAAAGATGTTTAATTTACATGTGTACACACTTTCTGAAACTTAAGATTTTTTTTCTTTTTGTTGTTTGCTAATTACTATTTTTATTATTTTCATTTTAGATTACAAAGAAAGGACAAGGACACTTTTATTTAATAATTTGAAACATGGAGGATTATACGAGTGGAAAATTAAAAGCCTATGTTGAAGTTAGAGGTGGAGTAGTAAGTTTGGATCTAAATAGAAAAGGACTCTCCAGGGTACCTGATGCAGTCACTGAACTGACTGAAGTGCAGGAACTTAGGCTGGATGACAATAACCTGACCGAATTACCAACAAGTATTAACAAGCTGAAATATCTTATGAGGCTGCATTTGAATGGTAACAAACTTACAGAACTTCCTTCTGAGATTGGTGACTTAAAGGAGCTGAGGAGTCTGGATGTGGGAGGCAACCAGTTGGTTAGTTTACCTGCCAGTATACAGAAGCTGAATCAGCTTGAGTGGCTGTCCTTGTCTAAGAACAAACTTAGAGAACTGCCATCTGAGATTGGTGACTTAAAGGAGCTGAGGTGGCTGGATGTGAGTAGCAACGAGTTGTTTAGTTTACCTACCAGTATAGAGAAGCTGAACCAGCTTGACGAGGTGCACTTGAGGAGGCTGGACGTGAGTAACAACGAGTTGGTTAGTCTACCTACCAGTATACAAAAGTTGAACCAGCTTAAGAGGCTGGACTTGAAGAGTAACAATTTTACAGAACTGCCTTCTGAGATTATGGACTTAAAGGAGCTGAGGAGTCTGGATGTTAGTAATAACTTGTTGGTTAGTTTACCTACCAGTATGCAGAAGCTGAACCAGCTTGAGGAGCTGGGCTCGTATGGTAACAGACTTACAGAACTGCCTTCTGAGATTGGTGACTTAAAGGAGCTGAGGAGGCTGGATGTGAGGTACAACCAGTTGGTTAGTTTACCTACCAGTATACAGGAGCTGAACCAGCTTGAGGAGCTGCACTTGTCTTGGAACAAGCTTACAGAACTGCCTTCTGAGATTGGTGACTTAAAGGAGCTAAGGAGGCTGTATGTAACACGCAACCAGTTGGTTAGTTTACCTACCAGTATACAGAAGCTGAACCAGCTTGAGTGGCTGTACTTGTCTCAGAACAAACTTAGAGAACTGCCATCTGAGATTGGTGACTTAAAGGAGCTGAGGAGGCTGGATGTGAGTAGCAACCAGTTGTTTAGTTTACCTACCAGTATACAGAAGCTGAACCAGCTTGAGTGGCTGTACTTGTCTAAGAACAAACTTAGAGAACTGCCATCTGAGATTGGTGACTTAAAGGAGCTGAGGAGGCTGGATGTGAGTAGCAACCAGTTGTTTAGTTTACCTACCAGTATACAGAAGCTGAACCAGCTTGAGGAGCTGCACTTGAATGATAACGAACTTGCAGAACTTCCTTCTGAGATTGGTGACTTAAAAGAGCTAAGAAGTCTGGATGTGAGAAACAACCAGTTGGTTAGTTTACCTACCAGTATACAGAAGCTGAACCAGCTTGAGGAGCTGCACTTAAATGGTAACAGACTTACAGAACTGCCTTCTGAGATTGTTGGCTTAAAGGAGCTGAGGAGTCTGGACGTAAGTCACAACCAGTTGGTTAGTTTACCTACCAGTATACAGAAGCTGAACCAGCTTGAGGATCTGTACTTGTCTCATCAAAAACTTGCAGAACTTCCTTCTGAGATTGGTGACTTAAAGGAGCTGAGGAGGCTGGATGTGAGTAGCAACCAGTTGTTTAGTTTACCTACCAGTATACAGAAGCTGAACCAGCTTGAGGAGCTGCACTTGAATGATAACGAACTTACAGAACTTCCTTCTGAGATTGGTGACTTAAAGGAGCTGAGGAGGCTGGATGTGAGTAGCAACCAGTTCTTTAGTTTACCTACCAGTACACATAAGCTGAACCAGCTTGAGGAGCTGGACTTGTCTGGTAACAGACTTACAGAACTGCCTTCTGAGATTGGTGACTTAAAGGAGCTGAGGTGGCTGGATGTGAGTCACAACCAGTTGGTTAGTTTACCTACCAGTATACAGAAGCTGAACCAGCTTGAGGGGCTGAACTTGTCTGGTAACAAACTTACAGAACTGCCATCTGAGATTGGTGACTTAAAGGAGCTGAAGTCGCTGGATGTGAGTGGTAATCCTTTATCTATGGATGCAATACAGCTTCTAGAGATGAAGAAAAAGGGAATGACCGGTTCGGTTATTACAGGTGGGTGTGGGAATAATTTTCAATGAAATTGTCATCAATAAGACGGTTTTTAGGATGGTACTTTTATCATTTATAGATGGAAAATATTTCAATTTAAATAGTGCCATTATTTTTGTCTTTGTTTTTTTAAAGACCTACCAGTATTTCAATTTTGCAAACGAAACCTTCCTTCATACTTTGTGTAGTTAGTTGTTAATAGTTTCAGATGAAACTACTCACTGTGGCATTTGCTTGACTGCTATCAAAAACCTGAGCATCAGTGGGGAAAAGTTTGGGTCGAATTTTTGGCACAAATACGTGTAGTTAAAACTCTTTTTACTTTCTAGGCTATCCAGAGTACTTTTATATCTTTAGAAATGCATTGCAATCGGCGCTACAGAATTTGAATCTGTTCAGTCTAGCCTGCGTGGCAGGCGGCGCAGAAAGGGGAGGCGGGGGAGGGTTCGGTCAGAAAGGGGGGAGCAGGAGTGGCGCAGTGGAGAGAGCATTCGCCTCCCACCAATGTGGCCCGGGTTCAAATCCCGGCGTCGACGCCATATGTGGGTTGAGTTTGTTGTTGGTTCTCTCCCTTGCTCCGAGAGGTTTTACTCCGGGTACTTCGGTTTTCCCCTCTTCTCAAAAGCCAACATTTCCAAATTCCAATTCGACCAGAAATCAGGTAGACGAAGAACCACTATGTGGAGGTGCTACCTGCAAATCGTTATTTATTTATTTATTTATTTATTTAGGGGGAGGGAGAAAAGCGCGAAAGCGGGGAAAAGGGAAGGGAGCCCCTTACCAACTCTCCTCAATCCCCCTTCCCTTTTTCCATTCCCCCCTATCCCCTACCTTTTTCGAAGCCTGCTACGTAGGCTAGTTCGGTTATCCTAGGGCAACTTAAGTCTTTTCGAAATTACAAGGGCTTCAGTATTATTTTCCCGACAATTTTAGGTGCAATTTAAAGTTTTACGAAAGTAAGAATTCTCTCGGATTCGAAAATGTGATGGACCATCACATTTTCGAATCCGAAAATTTTAGGTTTCCTTTTCCTACGAAAAATTGCTTAACCTGGGGAGTGAAATGCGCGAGATTAAACTTTACAAAATCGTAGGGAATTTATTAGATAAGACGCTTCGAAAATTGTAAATGAATGGAGTGGTCATCTAGAAAGTTTTAGCCTTCCTTTCCTTAAGCTATAGAAAATTTAAGGCACTTTTTGCCTCCCCAAACAGATATTTACGGAAAAAAGTCATTGGGTGCCCCTGATTATTGAATGAGGGTGAGTATGATGTGAAGAAGTTTGCGGATCGACGAGGATTTTAGGTGGATAACAGCCTCCGAGATCTGCATAATTCTTCACATCATATGAAAGCCGCTTCTAATTTTGGGCTGACGTAACGTACAAATGTCTGATTACCACTGTAGGGCAGATGCAGTTATGCGTGAGTCAATTCCAGCTGCGCCCAGCGCCCCCCTTCTCCCGGGCTGAACCCCGGGCATTAGCATTTTTTTGCCTTGGGTGGCAAATTCCCGGGGGTGGGGACTCTTGAGCTGTCAAATCCCCCGGGGTGGGAACGAAAAAAGAGGGCAAATGCCCCGTCCTCCGTCAACACTGCAACATTTTCGTTGATCGCACAGTCGAGGAGTACCATTTTAAGCTTTTTAATGTGCGATTTTTTGTTTCAATTAACGTCTTCCTTTGTAATAGTGCTAGTCTAATTAAGACTTCACGCCGTGACGAGACCAGTTTATGGTTTTAGTATTGTTATAAAATTATTGACATTAACATTAACAGTGCGCAGTAAAGTTAACTGCTATGAATAGGTTTATAAATATGAAAGGATGTTCTTCAAATAATATCAAGAGAAACTTGATTTAGTAACCCAAAAAACGTTGATTCATGTCGATAGCTTCCGAGTTTCGCTATGTAATTCTGGCTTGATAAGCGGAAGAAATTCATGCATAAAATCGAGAACATGTCTTTACAAACCTCTTCAGTTTTTTCCTGTCCTTGACAAATGAGCCAATCTGGTTATTTTCCAGTAAAATCCTCTGTGTAGTTATATTCTGATAGGAAACCGTGTGCGTGTCAAAAGCTCGGGGTTGGCCCCGGGGTTGGCAAATGCCCGGCCCCCGGGCAGCGCAAGATTTGCAAATGCCCCACCCCCGGGACTGACATGGCGGGCAAATTCCCCGCAGTAGCCCGGGGGGTGGGGGCTGGGGACAGCTTGATCTTCTGTGGCACCCAGTTCTCAGGGGATGGGGTACTCCGGATTTCAAGTTACGGGGATGTTCGAATGCGGACAAAAATCAACCCTCCCCCCCCGAAAAAAAATCCATAGGGTTTCTTACAAAACCCACAAAATCCCTGCACAAAAATTACCCCTTCCCCCTCCCGCCAAAAAAAAAAACATGGCAAGAGAGACCTTGTACCCGGGCACCGGCACCGTACCCGAATTCTAGCGTGGGTATGCTTGAAAAAAGAGTGTGTTCACATTAGTGCCCAGCGAGTACCGTACATTGGCACCAAGTGTGAACGCTGCATTACTCTTCCGCGTGCAACAAAGGAAATAGGACACGTGTGCCGGCACGCGGGCCATTTGTTCCATTGATGTCGAATTCCGATTTTAATAAAACAGAACAGTTTGTTGTGTCGGCATAAAAACTGAAGGTTTCTGGTATGCTGTATACGTAGACATACAGACATATTCAGGTTTATCCTAATTTATCTTATCATTGCATCTTATGTTCCGCAAGGAGTAATGAGGATGTCTTCCTTCAAACAAACTGCTGAAAGTGGAACCCTTTCAAAAGTGGTTGAGACAGTGTTACCTGTAAAAGCCGCCAAAGAAGAGGTTGTAGTAGAGCCTGAAGATGAAACTGAAGTTGAAGACAATACTTATGTCGGCGAAAGCAGAAGTGTTGTTACAGAGTAAGTACTGTTTGAATAAAAATTCAGTGGAACGTCTGACGACGGCAACGGCAGCAAAAAGTTACGTACTAAGTACATTTGCATGTGTAACTGCGGTACCTCTGAGGCGTTGCCAGTCGACCTCTGCTGAGTCGTTTTTCATCATCATCAAGTGCCATCTGCTAGTAGTAGATCGGCTATCATGGATCTCCAGCTGCTCCGAGTCGTTTTTAACGCGTCGATTTTCGAAACTGGTGATAAAAGAAGGCCTATGGATAACAAGCTTGAACATTTTACCCCCCAAAAGTGGCAGTGAAACATTCTTGTTCAGCGGGAGATCAGATACCGTGACGTCTCGTCTTCAATAGTTTTCCTTTTTCATCCTTCCACACCAGTGATCGGGGAAATCGACCTTTCTTCTCCGGAGAGCGTTATTTAAAAACTTGCTTTTTAGTGCGTGTGTAATTCTGATATGAGTTATATCTGTAGACGGAAGACTAATTCCACCGAAAAAGATGCTTTTTCAAAGAGCCGAAAAAGGCGTCTGCTCTCGCAGGTTTAGATACGTGTGGACGGGGCCTAATGTTTTTAATGTCTTTTATTTTTTGCACGGGTTGCGTGCACCGTGTGCACTCTTCATCTACAACATAAGTTTTGAATTTCCAGCGTGTGCGAGACCCATTAGGATTACAAGTACGTTCTTTTCACAATGTTTGATTTTTTATCTAAAACAATTATCTGGCTAGTCAGATTCATCGAATACCCCTTGGAAAAGTGTTGTGCTCACCGTAACAGTACTAAGCATAATTATACGTCGTAGACGAACATCCGACTGAACGTCGCAGTCAAAATTTACTAAAGGTTCTGTTTTTTCAATAAAATATTGTTTGAAATCCGACAACGACAGACTTTGTTTAGTTTCTTTGCTCAACGCTAAGGGTAGGGTATCCTAATTTTGGAGGATAAAAGCAGCTAAGAGTTGATGTTAAATAATATAGTTAACATTATATTATATTTATATTCTAGTGCGACGATTTTTCTGTCTTGAAATCGTCATAGAGAAGAAGACTAACATTGACCCCGGCACTGCGCGAAAAAAAAAACATTATTGTCCAGTCTCTGTCCCCTATCCCCCAAAAATCTTTACTTATTATATTCCTTATTTATTGTAGATTTTACTCGAACCTTGAACTAGTGAAAGCTGTGTTTTGAAAACAACCGACTATTAAAATTTTGGCTCATTGCAGAAAAGTAGTGACCAGTGAAGGTACCCGCTGGGCCCTCAAACTAGGGGCTGTCCATCTTATATTCCATCCAAATGCTGTGTCTGAGCCTACGTCAATGGTGGTCTACAGATGGAAGTCCAGTGTCGGCTCACCCCCGCTGCAGGAACACGAGGCCATTGTCAGCAATGTTATTGAACTATCTTCCCTCGATGGCCGACGCCTGCAATTCAATACCATGGTGACTTTGTCGCTTTCTCACAGCGCACCGGACCTACGGGGCTACGAAGTGGTGATAAAACGGCAGATCAACAAGGAGACCAATGAATGGGAAGACGTGAGTGGAACCAAGGACTTACGCTGTCGCCAAGGTATAGAAATTTTCTCTATGTAGTAGACTTATGGCAACTATAGAGAACCGTTTGGCAGACCCTGTTTCCCTAAGCGGGAGGCGGTGTACGTCATCCGTATTGCTGAAGGGTTTCTTTTGTTTTGTTTTTTTGAGATAGTGTCCATATCAAGTGTTGCAGTTGCGATTGCGCTCTCGATCTGAATCTTATTTCCAGTCTTGATTTCTATAACGTCAGTCTTTTTTAGATGGCAAAGGAAGTAAAAAAAGTGCATAATTATTATGATAGTTACATTTTACTTGTATTTTTTATCGGTAGCAGACATCGAAGATGAGCGCCCTTCTCACAAGGATATACCAGACCTTTTATTCCCCGTTGCTCAAGCTGACATAAATGAGTGCTCGACATATGCAGTGGTTTGCCGTCTCAAATCTTCTCCGCCTTACAGCATCACATCTACTGGCGGTTTATTCACTCATCCTGATTATCCAGGCGTGACGGTTACAGTCCCCGAGAATGCTGTTGCACCCGAGTCACCGTTTACCCTGGAGTTAAAGGTTGGTGTGATTAAAAAGGTACATTTATAAAGAAAGTATTATCGTAAAGGCTTTTTAAAGTGATACGGTTTTTTTAGAAAAATGACGATCTAATAATGACCAGTTTAGAAGGCTTGACTGAAAAATCGTTAACTGAATATTTGTAGCGATCTTTTTGTTACTTAAATTGCGTTAACTTTTTATTTAACTTATTGGGAATCCACGTCAATTTTAAAGCCTAAAGAATACATAAAATTAACTGCTGATGATTACTCTTTTAAATGGTACAGGTGCAAGAAGTTCCAAATGAAGAATTTGAAGAGGAAGGTGTATTTCTTGGTCCTATAGTGCGAATTAAATGCTCTGAGGTTGTCCAGTTCTTTAGGCCTGTAACGATTCAGCTGCCAGTTTCTCTTCGAGACCGGCAAGACTTTAAACCAGATCCCACTAAATGCCATGTGAGAGTGTTGTTCCTGAATTGCGAGGAGGAAAAAAGAGAATGGACTGAACTCACTGATCTGGTGAAGCCTGCACAGTTTGACGGGAGTTTTGTTAGGATCCAGGTCCAACGATTTTCTGGGTAAAGACGCTAAAAAAATCATTTAGTTATTTCAAGAGAGGATAAAAAGGACAGAGAAGGCATCCCCCATACACACCCTATTCTATAGATAATTCGTCTCGAGTTATTTTTAGAATCGGGATAAAGTTACCTCGCGCGCTGCGTGGATGTTTCGCGGACGTTTCGCATGACTAAACGCCGTGCAAAACATGTCGGGCGAAAGGCAATGAAAGCGTAAAGAGATCGAGAACATTTCTGAATATTGACGCGAAATGAGTCGGCGCTCACCTGGGAAAAGGGAATCGCTGGACTCTTTGACAACCCGTGAAGTCAGCTTAACTCGAAGTTGTCGTAACCTCAGTGTTTTAATAAAATGAGAAATTTCGCCGGACTATTGAAACCGGTCGTTTGTACAATAAAGCAAGTAGGACGCCAAGTGTTATTTTTGTTGAATAATAAAAGACTAATAAAAGAATAGATATCAAACCAAAAATTGCTCTCTTCAAACTGTAAATTAAAAATGATCTTGAGAGAATATTCAGTGTATTAAGGATTTCCCTGCTGTACTGTTAGCTCTATACAAGAGACGAAGCGCTGACACCGCTTTAGTAGAAATCTCTCCTTAGTCGTTTTTGTCGACAAAACGAATAGCAATATCGCTCTCTGCGTCTTCCGCTATTTTTTTCAGCGTCAATTCGTGAAGGACGCGTGGTTATGAGCGTGGGTCATCCACGCGGAACACATTCGCGCTATGTGATTGGCTGTTGTGTAATCCCCCTTGGGATCTGTGGTCTTAAAAATAACTCGAGACGAATTACCTATGGAATAGGGTGTGTATGGGGGATGCCTTCTCTGTCCCCTTTATCCTCTCTTGGTTATTTTGAATAGATGGACTTGTTTAAAAGGCACTGTTTAACGGATCCAACAATGGTAAGTGTTAGTCCAACTTCATTCATCATTGTTGGACGCAGCATGTTAGATCTGTTTTGTGGTGTTTCGATATAGTTTTTTAGAGGCTATACCGATATTTTTCAATCGCTTTAAAAATGATTTTATCCTTGTCTGATCGCTATAAAATTTTAAATAATGATTGACTATAGCTTGAAATTTGTTAAAATGTAGGTTTTAGTAAAATTGATATTACTATGACAACAATAAACAAAAAACTTTGAAATTGATAAACGCCCAATTTTGCGCGATCTAGACCAGCTACTGAAAATCCAGCCCTAGGAACTTAAAGTTTGGTGTTTAGCAAACAACCTCCGAAAGAAGTAAAAAATTCTGTATGTTTGAATTCGACTAAAACGAAAGTATATTTCAAGCCTTAAATTTTCAATAGCCGTGATAGATTATTTAGTGAAAACGTTAGAAATGACTCAGATTACTCCTAAGTAGCGTCAGAATGCTGCTTAATATCATATTTCGATGCTAATTTTGCTAATTTTTCCAAATTAATGCGGACAATACATATATCCATGACTAGTATGTTTCAGTGTGAGTATTGTCAATGTTTTAAATTCAAAAGATGCGATAAATTCAAAGTAAAATTTACTAGTCATGGAGGTTAGTATAGTGCGCAATATTTTGGAAAAATGAGCATAACTTCAAAACAGTGAATGTTGTAGCGCTGATTTTTGACAGGTTCGTAGGATAGGTTTGTCTTGAAATTTTAAGATGTTGCAGTGAATCAATCTCAATGAAAGTTTCAGACCTTTTTATATACATTATGAAGATTATGTGAAAAGGTTTTTAAAAAAATTCTTCGCGTCGTTTTAGAGATATACAAAAAAGCGCTAAAAATCCAAATTTTGAATTAAGTTGCGCTTATACAGGTGGTGAGAAAACGGGTTAGTTTTTAAGATCGCAAGAACGAAAATACACCAAAATTTCCTACCAACGAACTTAGATATTAGGGAACTTAAGAACCACGACGACGGCTTGGTCGACGACGACCGGAAGTGAGTTACACTGTACTGCGCAAGCGCGACCAGTAAATTTCGTCGTCGTGGTGTCGTCGACGACGCCAAACAAAGTAGAATCACGTCGTCCTGTAATCCACAAGCTTCGGCAGGTATAACTCGACTGTTTTAAGCGATTTTTGAAGGCCTTTGCATTTTCTTGTCCTCCTAAATCCAGGTGTCGTTCCTTTTTTCTCCTAACAAGCGATGTTGATTGAAAATTCGACTAATGAACTGATTTTACTTTGAAGAATGACAACAGCTGAGGAGGCCGAGCGAGCGAACTCGTAAGTGAATTGTGATAAATTTATTTGTACGTATTTAGGTAAGGCAAATCACATATCTTTAATATAGAGGAAATAAACTTTATATGGAAAACAGCTATCACATCAGAATGTCTCTTTTTCGAAATCTAAACTCTGACAGACACTCGGACTCGGTCATCTCATTCAAGTTGAAAGTTGAATAATTTCGTACGGAAAGTAGGTGTATTTCCACTCGAAAAGGTCAGACAACACAAAAAATTTTTCATCGTCAATGAAATTAGACGTACGGCTTGAACAAATAAGATCTTGCATTGTTTTGAAAGACGCCATTGCGAAAAGCTTCGTTGCGAACGAACGTCACAGTTTTATGTCTGTGTTTACATTCAGTGTCGTCGTCGTCGACCGACGGCATCTTAACTTTCCTTTTTTCCGCCGAAACTGACGTTCTCGTTCCAGTCTTTTCCCAGTCAACAGACGTCGTCGTCGTGAACTTCGTCGTGGTTCTTAAGTTCCCTATTAAGCAGCATTCTGACGCTACTTAAGAATAATTTGAGTCATTTATAACGTTTTTATTAAATAATCTATCACGGCTATTGAAAATTTAAGGTTTGAAATATATTTTCGTTTTAGTCGAATTCAAACATACAGAATTTTTTACTTCTTACGGAGATTGTTTGCTAAACACCAAACTTTAAGTTCCTAGTGTTGGATTTTCAGTAGCTGGTCTAGATCACACAAAATTCGGCTTTTATCAATTTCAAAGTTTTTTTGTTTATTGTCGTCATAGTAATATCGATTCTACTTAAAACTACATTTTCACAAATTTCGATCCATAGCCAATTACTGGTGAAAATTTGTATGGCGATCGGAAAAAACCACTTCTAATGCGATTGAAAAATATCGGTATGGCCTCTGAAAAACTGTATCGAAACACCTTATGGTGTTGGATGCTGTTGGATCGAGTTTGACTTCGCCTATCCGCAGACGTTTTCTCTTCGACAGCGCGCGCCTGTTTTCTCCTTTCCCCACCTCTACCCCAAACCCGTTGCGCTTGAACACAATAAATTCCCCTGCGGTTTTTATTTCCTTATGTGAGCTCGACGATCTACAAAGAGAAAATTGATGGTCTGTGTACAGGCTCGATTTGCGTGAGTTAAACCCGTAAACTGGTATGCGATGGACCATGTCACAACTTGGATTAAACAAAGTCCCCATATGACATATTGGACTGTTTTAGGTTAAGGTTTTTGGATTTGTTTGGAAGCTCAGTTTAATAAGGAGTAGGTGTTTAGGTATTCTGGAAAATGCATCCAGGAAGTTACCAAAAATGACAGTTTTTCTTTTAAAACTTTATTTCTTATGCTCTCTCCTGCTCAGGGTAGATATTACTCAGGTGGTTTGCACAAAATTGAAACTCAAACAATATTTTCCAAGTCTTCTCATTCTAGTGGTGGAAAAGAGGTTGACGGCTCATGAACAAAGTGCCTACTGGCTTTTTTTTCACTCAACACGTTAAGATAAGCTCTTTCTAGTTTCCCTTTTCAAATGTATTTGCACTCCTTTTGGTAGTTTAATCGTTATATCAGACGGCGATTACGTAGCACAGCTTAAATTTTATCTGTGCCATTTAAAGGGTCATAGCAACTCCCTTTACTCTGGTTCTCACTCTTTAATTTTTGGTTCTTCCAGATATTCCTTTTTTTTGGACCGGCGTCCAGAAAACACCAGTGTTGAAAGACTTGGAATTATTAGGTACATTTGTTACTTGACGAGATTCATATGGAAGCCGCCCAGAGGAGCAAGTTTCGTTGCTTACTTTCGTCCGCATATTCCAGAGATTTTGCACCTTATTTGTTGTCATAGTCACCTTACAGAAGCGGTAATACAGGATCTTAAAGAAACAGACGTAACGTATGGTGATGGCAGTTCGAGACAAGTTATGATACCAGGAGAGGACAAAGCATTTGTTTTTGTATCAGGAGGAATGTGTCCATTCAATGATGAGGACGTGAATGATGTTTTCCTCTGGTAAGCTTTTTTTATACATCACATACCCATGCAAGAACAAGGCCAGGAGCGCATCCCATCTTTCAATAATGATTTGGAGGTAGAACATCCACAAAGTGATTCTTCGTCCACCTGATTCCTGGTTGAATTGGAATTTGGAAATGTTGGTTTTTGAGGAAATTGAAAAATCATGAAAACTGAATAATCATGCGAATAGGTGGTTAAGCATCCTTTTGACTTCGGCAGCAAGTTCTTTGAAGATTTTTTTATTAATACCACGTGTAACGTATGGCTGATGCACGCGCTGGTACAATATTACACGTAAAGAAGACGTCTCTCAATTTTTAAGAGGTACCCGGCCTCATGTTGCAAGCAACTGTTGGACGCCAGCATGTTTTTTGCCTACCTAGTTGATTCCGAATTCATCCCAGCAGAGAAAGAAAAACATGCAAATTGAATAGGTCAGGACTTTGTCTTCTATATTTGTTAAGCTTACTGTTAGGTAACCGTTATTACAGCATGGATATCTTTGGTTTACATTTAAACAGGTTATTAGAAGACGTGTTCAAGACTGAATTACGAGTTCGTGTCGTTAAAGACGAAAACCTAGCAGAAGTAGAGTTCCATAACACCTCGATACCTACAGGAAGAACGAGTCTGTTGTGTAAAATTCACTTGCCCATCCAGAACATTCCACGTGCGGTTAGTATTACTACTATCGGCTAAAACATTTTATAGACATTAGCCTTCTGTAAAGTGTGGCGATGACGATCACAACGGTGATGATGATGATGATTTATTGCAGTGTATCCAGAGGGCAGCTATACATCTGCCATAATAACTAGGAAACTATTAAAAAACATAAGCCTATAATATAATGTAAATACCGTAGATACCAAAATACGATAAATAATATGAAAAATGCTTTAGAAAACGAAGGAAATAGTGGTAGATTGAGGCTCAACCTAGGCGAATATGGCATATTCGACATCAAGAAACCTTGTTTTGTCAGTCTTATGAGTCAGTGAGTTATTGTAATTGTAATTTGTTTACCCACGGAGCTCTTAGGAGTTCACAAGAACTCGTTGAAACGTTTCCGTGCGTTCCTGATCGAATTGGAATTTGGAAGTGTTGGTCTTTAAGGACAGAGGAAAACCGGAGTACCGGAGAAAACCGTCTCGGAGTAAGGGAGAGAACCAGCAAGAAACTCAACTGGTTATGGAGAGAACCAACAACAAACTCGGTATGAGTTAGGGTTAGGGTTAGGGTTTGAGTTGGGGTTCGGGTGAGGGTTAGAGCTTAAGGTTAAGGTTTGTGTTCGCGTTTACGTTAGTTTTAGGGTGAGGTGACTCATACACATTCAATTCTCGCCATATTCAGGTACGTTGAACGTCTTTAATTAACGCGTATACCGTCTGTATTGCGGTGTGCGCCTTTTTTCCACTCAACATGGCTTTGTTTTGCTACTTAAGTTGACATCATCTTTAATTTGATGGAATCAGGTTTTACAAATGTTGGTTCAAACTCTTTCTTTTTTTTAATATACAATGTTGGTTTGCTTTCAGAAATTGCATTCAGCCTTTTCTGGTATAACACAACGTCATGCACAGCCTTCAATCTTAAAAGTTTGCCTCCTGGCTGATGAGTGGGGGTCATCTAAGGGTGGCTTGTCAACAATCAACAGAACGCTTGCCATACATTTGGCAAAACAACCAAACGTAGAAGTAACTATTATTGTACCTCAATTTGAGTGCGGTGAAGATGACAAGAGAGCCGCCAAGGCTCATAACATTTCCATCATGGAAGTACATCGTCGCCCTGGCTTTAGTGATCCTCTTGATTGGTTGAGCTTTCCACCAAGAGACCTTGACATTCAACTCGTGATTGGTCATGGTGCAAAGCTGGGTAAACAAGCTCAATTCATCCAAGAGTCTCATTGTTGCAAGTGGGTGCAGGTAGTACACACCGAACCTGAAGAGCTAGCAATGTATAAGAACTATCCTGGCGCAATTACCAAGGGAGAAGGAAAGAACAGAGCTGAAGTTGAGCTGTGTCAACTTGCAGATCTCGTTGTGGCAGTTGGGCCCAAGTTGACAGAAGCATTCTCGTCCTACTTGCGTTCATCTCACCAAGATGTCTTCCAGCTGATGCCAGGCACCTTTAAAGAGTTTTCAGATGTTGAGCATGCTACTACGCGAGCGAGTGCGAAGTTCAAGGTGTTAACCTTTGGCCGTGGTGATTTTGAAGACTTCAGTCTCAAAGGATACGACATTGCCGCTCAAGCAATAGTTGAATTGAAGGACAGTTCTTACCGTCTTATCTTTGTTGGTGTACCTGATGGAAAGCAGGATGAAGTCGCGGAAATCTTATGCCAGACGGGCATTTCAAGAAAGCAGTTGTTTGTCAGGTCATTCGTGAAAGATAAGCAAAGATTAGAAGAGTTGTTTTGTGAAGTTGATGTGGCCATCATGCCTTCAAGAACTGAGGGATTTGGCTTGACAGCTCTGGAAGCCATGTCAGCCGGTCTCCCCATTCTAGTAAGTGGAAACTCTGGATTTGGAGAAGCACTGCGTTGTCTTCCAATGGGTATGTCATTTGTGATTGATTCGGATGACCCCAAGGAATGGGCAAAGGCAATAGCAGCTATCCAACAAAAATCTAGGGCACAGCGGCTTGAGGAAATCCAAAGACTTCGAAGAAGTTATGAAGAGAGATTCAGTTGGGAGAGACAGTGCAAATCCCTTGCTGACACGATGTGGAAGATGGTTTATGGTAAGAAATCAAATTTGATTTTCCCCGGCTACTAAGAGAGTGGCCCCCGGCTACTTTTATTGGAAAATACAAGAAAAATAGAACCAAAATAAATCCCTAGCCGTTTGATTCCCCGCCTACTTGTTGTATTTACCCGGCAACTTGAAATCTTAGTGACAACCCTGATGATCTGAAAAATTTTGTAGATCGTGGAGGATGCTGGCCGATGCGGATAACACCCTACGAGATCTGCATAATTTTGCACATCACTTGAAATCCCAATCCAATTATTGTTTTATTATCCATTCAATATAGTTCACACTTGAAAAACATGCTTACCTCGATCGATGTTAAGTTTCTGTCTTCAACTTCGTTCCAGGGCCTCTCAGTTGCCGTCCCCTTTTCTGGCGATATCCTATACTGTTGAGGTCATTTTACTGGATATCGTAAACGTCTTCCAAATTGAATCATCGCTAGCTAGTTTTCAGGAAATAGCCGTGGCATTTGAGTCATTCTCATTTTATTCTGTTGAAACCACTGTAATTTAAAATGGTCAGTTGGTTTTTGTTTGGACCAGTGTATTATCTCCCATGGGGCGTTTTCACTCACATGGCGAGCATCTACGCCAATTTATTGGAAAAACGGCCGCGCCGATTTGTTTTTTTTTTTTGGAACAACAATATGGCCGCCGTGACGTCATGTGAAAACTCTATATTGAACTGACGTGAAATAACCTTTCTCATTTTGGATTTTTCCTCTATCATTTGCAGGTGAATTGGTTTTCCTTGCACTTCAAAAAATCAAGCTGGAAGCGCACAGAGAAACCAGCAAAACTGAGCTGTCGTTGAATTTAAAGAGGATTGCTTTGGAGAAAGGTTTTGTGATTTCTGACAATCAAGGGGATGGAAACTGTATGTTTTTTGCAATTTCAGAACAGCTTGGCCACGTCAAAGGAATTAAAATCTCCCATGACGAGTTACGCCGAACTGTTGTCCAGTACCTCAAGGACAACCCTAGGCTGGTTAGTGTCTTTTTTTATTGCCTTAAGACTATTTATCTCATATTAGCAACTTAAGCTGACCGAAGTGGAGAAGGGAGAAAATAAAGAGGGTTTCTTTTCAATATAAATCAAATAACGGAAGCCCAAGCATAAATGGAAACGGACGGGGGAACATTTCCTTTTTTCGCCTCGGCCGGTAAGCTTCTTTTGCGTACGTTTAAAAAAGCAGACCTGTGACTTGACGGAAATAGAACTTTGCCACCACGGTAGCTTTTTCCCCGCTCACTTCTCTTTTGCGTCATCCACACTATCTAAACGCTTGAAGAGGCTAACGGACATATAGAGTTGGACCTCGTCGTTCTTTATTTATTTTGTTTGAAACTTTATAAGGCGGACACGTATTTTGGAGTACGACAACTAACGGTGTCTGTGGCCCAGGGTAGTACTCCCTATTATGGCCTATACAGGGAGGCTACGCACAAAAGGGGTACCTTTTTCAGGTCTCAGGTGTATATGAAAGGGTAGGGGTTTCATTATTTGAGGTGTATAAAAGGGTAGGGAAATCTGTCATTTCGGTCTGTAAAAGGACTTAAAAGGGCTAACCCACGCATTTTATGGATGTAAAAGAAACAAGAAAACTCCTGGTTTAGTGATTTATTCATAAAAAAAATTGTGCATTTACAGCAGTTTGAACTTTGCATCCCTTTTGAAAGGGATGCAAAGTTCTAAACTAAGTATGTCAACGGGGTACTATTTGTCAATATACGAGGTATATGAAAGGGGTACCTTGTCTTTCAAAAATGGTATATAAAAGGTTAAGGGGTTGGACCTCGCGGCGGAGCCTCCCTGTATAAAATTGTTGAGTATCTTGGGGGTCTGTGTTGGAGAGAGCTGACTACGTAGTTTCCTGAATAAGAACCGTCTAGAAATGCTCTTTGTCCTCTTTTCTAGTAACTAAAGCATTTTTTTCTCTTACAGCCGGATGGGACAGATCTCTTCCACTTTGTTGATGGATATTCATCTTGGAACGCTTACCTCACAAGCATGAAGGCAAATGGTGCATGGGGTGATCACGTGATTCTATTCGGTGCGGCAAACTACTTTGAAACATGCATTCACGTGATCAGCAGTCTGCCGAATCACCATGACGTAATGATCTGCCCAGAGTATGATGTTACTGGTAAAAATCGGCTTGTGCTGGGTCTTGTGCATGAGCTTCACTATGTTAGTCTTATTCCACTTGAAGGATGCTAAGATGTCTAATGACTCTGTAATGTTTAATTTCCAAATTCGCGTTACCAAATTCATATCATTTGAATCAAGCAATTGCACCTTTCATTTGCCACCTTTTTGCTGTGTTTGTTGGCAAGAAACTTCTCTCTCCATATAAACTGAACGCGTCCTTTTAGTCACATGTTTGCAATTCATCAATGTTATTGAATTGTGACGGAATAAATAGACGTTTAAATATGATTAATTGATAGGGGAAATTTTCTGAAAATAATCGTACACAGTCCCCGGCCTTAGGTAATATGAAAATGTACTTATTTGTTTTAGTCACTCTATTCTATTCTAATAGGGTTTAGTTGTTAAGGACCACATTGCCTGCAGTCACTGTAAGCATTATATAGCAGCATTTCTGTCTTATTATGTGTCTGAATTCCTAGTGTACACATACGCCCAAACATAAACACAAGTAACGTTCACAGAGGCAATTGGGTCACCCTCTGTTGTTACAAACATCCTAACAAAATGCTTGCACTTAGGGAAAGTTCATTTAATATGACAAGGGGGGGGGGGATGAAGATATTGAGGGGGGGCTCCGAAAATTTTTAGACACCCGAAGGGGGGGCTCTGAAAAAATTGTTGCGCTAGGAGGGGGGGCTCTGAAAATATGTATACTTCAAAACTAACACATGACATCATCATACAGATCGGATGGTTTTCAACTCAACAATTTAATGACCTGTGCAACTCAGCTATATCAAGTGGTTTACAGATATAACAAATGTAGTCTCAGTAATTATTACACTCTTGTTCATCCCAAAAATGCTGTGGAAAATTGTGACACAACTGTATCTCAAGTTTGTCATAATATAAACCATTGAAGACAATAATGGTAAATATATTTAATACAGTCTAGCGATCTTTTTTCAGGGGAGCAAAGGAATTGAAGGAGGAGGAGAGGGGGGGTTCTGAAATTTTTTCGACTACCAAGGAGGGGGCTCCTAAAAAATTGAACCGCTAGCGATGGGGGCTGCTAAAATTTCAAGCTTCGAGTTTCAATATCTTCATCCCCCCTCCTTGTCATATTAAATGAACTTTCCCTTATGATCACCTGGTTACTGTGTGTGCGTATTTTGCTGGTGATTATGCTTGCGTCGTGTAAACTTGGCCCCACCGTATATACTTGTCAGAAGTTATTCCGGCATTTTCAATAGCATTTAGTTATTCAGGGACAAGCTTTGCTTTAAAGGTTCCCTACCTACAGTCTCTGAAAATATTCAGTTTCAGGTAAAATATTTAATTAGAATTTGTTCCTGAAGCATCGTTCCTTTCTGAGGGTATTTATTATGTATCAAGCTTTAGTTTGTTGGTTGAGGATCATACCTATGGCAGGATGTCCCTTAGGCGTATCTATGAATATAGGCAGTCAAAATATAAGTCAATAGCATTTTTTTTCTTTTGAAATCGGTTTTGCATAAGAATGCTCCTTATCAATTTGTGAATATTAATTTTTTGAACCGTTAAAATAGCTGTTTTAGACCTATTAAACCACATTTGTAGAATCTGAATTTGCCCAAATGTGTTCCTTGTCATTCTTTATGTAATAATTAGAAGCTTTCTATTCATATCTAGTAATATGAATTGTGATATATATATTTTTTCAACTTTATTAGTAACTTTGAAGAACAACAAAACAATATATTGTGATGAATGAAGTCTGGTTTAAATCATTCGGCTTAGTTAGAATCGTTTTAAAGTTGGGTAGTACATTTTTCGGATATTTTGTTAAGCGACCACTTGCCAAAAATTTTGAGTGGTCTCTCCGAAAAGACATAATCTGTCACATGTTTTTCGTTGCCTTGATTATGTCGTTTAAAGCAATATTTCTATTAAAAATAAATTAGGATAGAGAACGCAGAGGCTTTTTCAGGAAAGCTGAAGATGTAGGCAGGCGATTAAGGAGAGCTTGATTCCGTGAAAAATTACGCTCCTTTCTTTTTTATATTAAATATGAAGTGACTGTACGTTTTCGCGAACGTTCATGCTTGGAAGTAAAAGAAGATGCAGAAGCCGAATGATTTTTGTTAAGGTCAGCGGCAGCGGAGAAAAATAAAAAGTGGTGGGGGGTGGGGGAGGGGGGGCGCTGGGGGCTGAAAATAAATTTGGACATTCCATTTTTTTTCCGACACTTTTTGGTCTAAAATAGGGTCAGGATTTGGAGAACCGGGTAGCACACCCCCACAAATAATTCCCAGGTGTACCCCCCGGGGATAAATCAGCATTTTGCCGTATTGCCAGTCTTGCATTCAGTTTTGTTTTAATTCTCGAAATATGCCCGAGGGAATGTTAAAGCTTTTAATAAGTTAATAAGTTAAAGGTTCAGTGCCTTGTTCCCAAATTACTTGTTTTATTTTAAGTGCGTTTCTGTTGTGCTATTGTGTTTAGTATAAAGCCGAGTTTAAACTGCTCAGTATATCGTCTGTATAAAATTCTGTGTTCGAGTTGTTAACGAGTGAAAATTGCATACGTTTTTCTTTACGGGACAACATTTTGATAAACAATGTAATCTAAAATAAAAATGTAAGCTTATGTATAAACAAACTTATAGTACTCTATTCATGGTCATCTTCGTTTAAACCGATTTCACTTCCTTACAGTGCAAGGAATTTATGCAGAACGTCTGCCCCGTCGGTTTATTTGTTAGGGAACTTAAGATGGAGACGTTTTCGGGGCGACGGCGACCGGACTGGCAGAGAAAGCCTGGAACTAAGGCAGCCGTCGCTTCCCGTCAAATATAGAACATTAAGATCGCAGTGTACTCAGAAGGAC